CTCCAATTCGGATTTCCTGGGCTCGCTATTGTTCTGAGGTATGGAAAATCGTCGTGCGAATCCATCGTGCTAGAGCACGAACCGGAGCGAGAAACTCGGTCTCCCGGTCGGGTGCGAAACGACCTGGAAACGACCCGGAAACGACCCTCGGGTCGCCACCGGGTCGAATGCCGGGACCGTCGGCCGGTGGCCCGTGCGCGAACCCGAGTTCGGTTCCGTCCAGCCGTCGAACGCGCCGAGCGAAAAGCCGTGGGATTTTCATCGATTCGATCGTCACCCGGACGGACCGAGTCGAGATCGAGCCGAACGCGATTTCGGAAAGAATTCGGGCGGAAATCCGCACGCGCACGGAATGCCCGAGATCGACGGAGATCCGTTTCGTGCAAAAAGCGGTGAACGTCCGGAATGCATCTCTCGCTCGAAAGCGGACTCGGAGCGGGCGGTCGTTCGCGAGGGCGGAAGCCGCCGTTTCGCCGCGATGCCCCTCGAGCGTCACGCTCCGACCACCGACGAGGTGAACCCGGAAGTGAACCCTCGTGGATCCTCGGGGTCGTCTCGTTCGAGCGTGTTTTATCCCCGGATCCACCGGTTCCGCCTCTCTCGCGTCGTCCGCCGCGCGCAACCGCGACCTCCACCTCTCTCGTGTCGTCCGCTACTGCCGCGGCCTCCACCTCGTTCGCGTTCCGGACGCACCTCCACCTCGTTCGTGTTCCGGACACACCTTCGCCTCGTTCGTGCTCCGGACGAAAGCATTCCCATTTGGGAGCGGTGCCCGAAAAACGACTCGGGAAATGGGCACGCTTTCCCTCTCCCTCGCAGGCGTACGGCCGACGACGGCCCGCGTATGCGATCGGATGCGAACGCGTACCGAATTCGTTTCACCTCTCCCCACGCGAGGGGCATCTCGCGGTACTCTCGTGAGGTACGCTTCGCCTGCGACGGTATCGACGTCCGACGGCGCGCTCGGATCCCTCGGTCGTCTACTGGGTCGTCTACGAGCACGAAGTAGACGCAGACGTTTTCGTCGTTTCGAGCCCCGGCCGTCCCGCTCCGTCCGACGCGTTTAAAGCTCTTCCCGTTCGAGGAAGAAAATCAAATTTAAAGACAGACACCCGTACGTCCCGCGAAAAAAAATTCACCTCTCGCTTCGATTTTCTCCGCGAGACGTTCCTGTGAAGCGTCGATCCGTCGCGCTCTTCTCGATCGAGGTACCACGTTTCCCACGACCGGACGTACAGAAGCCCCTCCATGGATGATACGATTTTGCGAGAGGCTCTCGTTCGCGTCCGAACGCATGGGAAGTCCAGCGACGAATCGGTGCCTCGCTCCTCAAAACACGCCGTCATCCGATTCCCTATATCTCGCGGTCGGATCTCTCTTAACGGACCTCTTCCGGTAGGTAAAGCTACGGTGGCAAAGTGAGTGCCGTGTTTGCTCGTACCAAATAGGGAGACCGCAGTCCACTCCGTCGTCGCCGTTTCCTTCTCTTCCTCGTGTATGGACCGGGAAAGGAAGGCGAAGTCGGAACGAGATACCATTGGAGATCGGAAGGCGGGAAAGCGAAACGAACGCATTTGACGACCCCGACGCAAACGACGCCACACGATCTTCGAGTCGTGAAATGGACGTAAGAATAGCGATCGTGGAGCTTCCAGGGGTTAAATTGAGGGGTGGAGGTGGGAGGAGGAAGGAAAGAGAGGGGGAAGGGGGGAAGGGAGGAAGGGGGAAGGGGCAAGGGGGAATGGGGGAATGGGGGTCGAGGGGAAAGAAAGATAGGAGATGGATGGATGTCCGTCAAATGAAAAGCTCCATATCCCGAATGAATTGTGACGCATGAGAAATTCGTGCAAAGATGAAGCTTGCGATGGGTTGGGAAACGAGTTCGACGTGAAATTCTTAAGTCCGATCGCGAAGCATCGTTGAATTCAAAATATCCTTTCTCTAGAATTCCTCCCCTGATCTCTTTCTTTTCCGAGAGGTTTTGGTCTCGCGAGATCGATCATCTCATCAGTTCGTGCGGTCGCTCGTCGAAAACGATTCGCAAAACGATTCGTGCGACTTAAATACGACTCGACGAATGAACTTCCCCCGAATGACGGTCGTGCCGTCTATGCCACCGTGACGGGCATCCGACGAGGATTTCAGAGGAGCCAACAGAAAATTCGGGATCGGGAAGTACGGAGAGATCGTGAAGAAAATTCCCTCGTCGAACGGTGAGCGTGCTAACGGACTTTTTCATTCTCACTCTGCAGCCACGAAACGTGCTGGACACGATAGTCTTCATGCAGGATGGCATCACTCCTCGCATTTGCATCCTTATCGTGTTCGTGTCGTGGGAGCACTTCCAGGATTCCATAATTTCCCGACGTTTTCTTCACGAACGGCCGATGCGTTCACCGGACCTCACACCGGAAGACTTTCGGTCGTGGGGGTTTTTCAAGTCTCTCGCGTACCGAGGGACCCCACGCACGGTTCCAGACCTTAAAGATGCCGTCGTCGGGGAGGTGGCCAGCACGGCGTCTGTCATCCCACGAATGCGATACATATTGGATGAATGGAGAAGCACGCATTCGACACGACTCGTTTTCTCGAGTGGACCATTTCTTCACTCTCGTCGAGGACTCACGACACATACAGCATCGTCTTCTCCATGGCCCGTGTAGCATTCCAATTAATTTTCACGATCCTGTATCGAGCCGTTTACGAGATCTGATGCGTTGAACGAGGGAACTTTCTTTATAATCACCCTATATTATAGAGGTTCAACCGAACAACCTGCGGTTTAGTCGGGTCTCAATTTGGAAGGGGGGCTCAGAGCCGATAAAAGTTATAGAGGAAGCCTAAACATTTCCAATTCCTCGAGGGGGAGGGGAGGGGAGAGGAGGAGGGGAAGGGTCAGTGTTGGTTGCTAGATCGACGAGCGGGCTACAATCGGTGATGTTTATGAAAGGAAAAGCAAACATTTTGGGAAGTTGACCGACGCACGACCGGAACGCGCTGCGAGACGGTCTCCGAGTTCCGATCGTGCAGGCGCTGTGAGAAAGGGTGCAAGAGAGACGGAGGTTTCCCGGGCATCGTCACCGCCATGGAATGGAGACGATCCGTAACGAAAGACCTAAAAACTCCGATCCCGGAGTAGTTGCTGCTCGAGGGGAATAATTAAGGGATTTTTCTCGCTTCGAGGTCGGAGTAGGGACGCGAAGAGGCACTTTCGCCCGTCTCGAGGCCCCTCGTTCGCTATCATAACATCCGCTCATCCCCCTTCGAGAGATGAATGTATTTCTGTGAGCATATCCGCCTACTACCCAGTCGCGCGCAGCTACATCCTTTGTTTCGTTCGCGAAGGCATGTTAACCTTTCCCCAAAGCCAGTCACGGGGCGGGGCAGCCACCCAGTCACGGGGCGGGGCAGCCACTACATCGTCACTTCACGCATTTCGTGCATTTACTTCCCTACGAGTCGAGAAGCGATTCTCCGACCCACTTGGAGTTTAGACAACTCGAACCGGTTTCCTTTCGTTCGGCCGTCACCGTCGAGTTCGAACGATCGACCGCGCTCTACCGTCGATTCCCTTCGTCTTAAAAGCACGGACGTCGGCTTCTTTTCGTGCGGATGGAGTCTCGACGTCTTCCAAACGCTTCTCGTATCTCTTTCGTCGTTTTCGCAGCCAGTCTCTGAATCCCCTCGAGCGCCGTTCGATACCTTTTGCTTGCAGTTCTCCCGAGTCGAACGCGATGCTCTAAGCGGTGCCACACGAAACGGGAGAATAACGCGCAAGCTATTATCGGTGATGAACCTATTATATTCGGCTACATGCGAGGGGAACTCCAATTCCTCATCCGTCGCGTTCCCAGCGTGTCTCTCTCCGTTTGCCTCATTCGGCTTATCCTCGCCGAACGCATTCAGAAACGTATACTCATCGCGACCGTCGTGGAAGATCCACAATTTTTAATCATCACTAATTTCAGCGAGCCGTCTTTTTACTCCACTCGTCCAAAAGCCGTAAATTGATCTCGGTTCTCGCCTCGTCCTTCTCCCCCCCACCGCACCGATGTTCAACATCCGCCGCTCCCATTATAGATAGAACCGATGAATTGACAAGAAAAGCAAATTCCTCTTTTATATTTCTCGAAATTTCCCAGTAAAAACAATATATTACTGCTTGCTTTTTTTTTAACATTCCCAAATTTTAGAGTAACACTGTTCCACTCTACCAACTTGACATCAATGGGAAAAAACGTTCCAAAGGAATATCGTAACGATGAACATGAGGGATTTTTTTTTAATGGCCATGCGCCTGTCGAAAATCGCCCGCGAGAGACGGATGGATCGTTTAACCCTGGGGTACGTTTGCCATCCCAGAATGTAAGTTGCTTGCTGTGAGCCCTAATTTTTTGGACTTTTTGGCTTGACTTTTTCATTTTAATCAACAGTGGTTCGAGGGGGAAGTGACCATAAAATCTTAAGGATTGGTGAAAGGACGAAGTCATAAAAAATAAAACGTAAACAACGTCATAATCGTAAAACGTAACTCCCCCCCCCCCCACTTGTCTTTGAAAATGCTTAACCCCCATTGAGAGGGGAAGCTCGCACTTCCCTTCGACCGCTTCTTCGCGCCTCGGCAGCAACCTTTCTGTTACTCTGCCTCCCTTGGCGCATGAGCCAAAACATTCCATTAGGTGGGGGTCTAGAAGCCCCGAAGAAGCAGTCTCTAGCTCTCAAGGTTTTACAACGAATCGCTGAGTTTAAAGAACTCAATCGGGAGACCGAGGACCTCGCTTTGACGCGCAACACAGATGATTTGCAATAAAAATCAGGATGGTCCTCGTGTCGGATGGAAAGAGACGAACTGTGAAGCGACCAGACGATTTTCACTCCCACGCCGGAGTCTTGCTCGTTATGGCCCCCTCCATCTCCTCACATGCCAGGCCTGCCTTTTCTCACGTGCCATGTCTCGCTTAATGTGATAATATTCTCAATTGGTGCGCCTTTAGCATTGCCCGTGGCGATCCCTTGGACTCTCGCAAGATACGAACGATCAAATTAAGACTGACCCAAATTAAAGGTGGAGTGAGCCTTTACCGTCGTTAGTCCAGTCATTTTCGGTGCCTCCTCTTCCGGCCTTTGTCGTTTTAATCACCTGCGAACGATGATCTATCGAGGGAACGATGATCTGATGTACGAAAGCCGCGATAGTTTTTCCAATTTTTCGGTAATAAAATTTCTTTGGAAGTATCTCCGTTCGATCATCCGCATCTGCGGCCTTTTCACTTCCATCGGTGAGTAAAGCTCGTCATTCTAGCGTTATCCAATGTAGACACGTGATTCTTTTATCCTCACGCTGGAAATAGGCCTAAAATTAGGCAAGTCCTGCCTTAGGTCTCAACGTAAGTCCATTGTGTGTGTTCTTTCCGTCGAATCACTCATCTACGACTGTCATCTATTTCAGTTTTGATTGGTGCCGGTGGAGATCTGGTTTACCATCAACACTTCATGGCGATATATATCTTGTAAGTCGTCCGTGGTGGTTAGGCCAAGGCTGGGCCGCTGCCAAATACCTAGCTTCCAATTTTTAGGTATAATGAATCGGCATCAATTAGGCCTATTTGGAAAAATGCTCTCTATCAGACTCAAGTTATTTCTGTTGCTGCAAGCATATTACATTGACCAGATATCAAGCATAAATCTAGATATCAGACCAATAATCCTACTCTATGCTTCCAGGTTGGCTGCTTTTGTGATCTTTTTCCTTGAAGTGTCCTGGCTAATCACCCTTTGCCTTCAAACTTTGATCAGGCAAGTGAACACCTTGTAGACTCCATTTTGAGTCAAACCTCAGTCCAATGAGTGGAATGAACACAGACCCTTCCCCCTTCGAATCCAGGTATGAGTACAACCCGGTGAGGAAGTGTTGGGATGTGGTACTTTGGTTGGATTTATGGAAGAGATCTATTGTGTATGCTTGTCTCACTCCCATGTTGTTTGTGGAGCCCCATCGGATGTGGTTGGCTACACTTGGAGGTAAGGCCAGGTAGAAACTAGTGACAAAGATTCCTGTCCTTTCCTTGATTGTAGGATACTAGGCCTAATCAGCCCCATGTTGTAGGGTTTATGCTGATCATCCTGTCCATCCTCTATGCCATTCTTACATACAAGAAGTATCAGACCATCAAGCGCTCCATCATCGAGTCTTCGAGCGAGGATCGGTGAGTTTCCTATTTTGGGGTGAAAGAGTCCCATAGAACATTGTGCAGTTCTTTGATTTAATGTATACCTTACTTGCCTGGGTTATCCAAGATGGGATACAGGAATGCAAGATGTTGATCTTGCCATCCCAGACTCCATGTTCAACACAAGCTTCCCAGTTGCAGGACGAGGAGGGACCACTGCTCACATCAATACATGAGTGAAGCCATGTTCATCACACATCTCATCTCTCACTCAGAATCTCACGTTACAATCAGTGTAGTCGAGGGTATACATGTATGCAAGCCTCTTCTGATTTTTAGATGCAAAGAAACTCCCACTCCATGCTGCTCTCTCCAAAGGTGAGCCTACAGAGTCACCAAGGGATTATGCAGGAAAACATGGATTATAAAGACATGCTCACTAAGCAACAGTCTCATCTGCAAATACCTCAAGGTTAAATCAATATAGACTGTCTGGACTTGATCAGTTCCTGGGTTTATTTTCCCAGTATAGGGAATTGTTTTAGTGCCAATTACCATCCCATACTTGGTGATACCAGGAATACTTTTTCTACTCATTTCTTGAAGTCTTATAAATTTCAGCAATTGTAAAGAGCAGGTGCATCTTGGGGTTTTTTGGTGCCATATTGTATGATTGTTCCCCAGGGATCTCTCAACATATTAACATACATGTAGGGAAAAGGTAAAAAGTCATAGAACCAGATGTTGCAACATATGAAACAGCTGTGCTTTTTCCAGACACATTTCCCCCCACCCCCCCAAATGGTATTTTTGGCAAAAAGACTCCTGTTTGTTACCTCACTTTTTGTGTCTAAAGCCTGTAAATTTTTCATTATCAGTATATGAAGCATAGATCTGAGGTGGATTATTTCACAGCCTTAACAAATTTTTCCCAAGCTTGTGGACCCAAAACTCTTTATGGCACCGATCCTTTGCTTGACAGAGGCAGAGGCTTCACATACAGTTACCTACAGTAACTGGATATGCTAGTCAAGAGTTTATGGGCTTTAATTAGAAGTCTAGTCCTACCAAGTGCCAAAGATTGTGATACCTGTACTAGTCATGACCTACCTCAATCTGTTAGCTAAGTATTCTTGTTTTGTATAACGTCCTCTAATGACATTGATGCTCTTTGCTGTGCCCATGTGCCTTTCATGTGTAAGGCTTTGATAATACAGTTCTGTACATTTTCTTGTCATTCAGAGATGCCTAAACTGGTGAATTTGATGCTCAGATTTTTCAGAGAGAACATAATTTAAAATAAAATTGAGTACCATCAGAAACAATACATCATGTTCAGGCTTTGTAAATGCTTCAGTTTTAAATAAAATGAATGAGATTTTTAGCTGAAGAGGTAGTAATCCTTGCCTTCAATAAGATGAAGGGACTGTAGATTCTTCTCAAACTCTCCACCAGTTAGATCCAACTTCACACAGATCACAAAGGGTGGAGATGCATCCCGAAAGTGTAAGATGGGCACCCTTGGCTTGGGAACCTCTGAACTCTCTTCATAGATATAAAACCCATTGGCAATCTTTTTTGAGTCCACGTCACAGAAGGCAACAACTTTCTTTTGAAGCTTGGCATCAAGAGACCGATAAAATCTTCGCCCTTGCTTCCCTGCATTCCAGATGGTGAATGAATTCCATTCAGATAGAACACAAGAAGAGAATCTGTTCAGTCGATGAAACCAAATAGTTTCCTGTTGAATTGAGTGCGTGGTTGCTTGTGAATGATATCGATATGTAACAAGAACTTCATCCACTCTTTTCAAGCTTCCTCCCCTGTTGAGGTGTCTGTAGAACAAGATAAGGTCTTCGGGTACACCAGGTGTCTCATCGAATCCCCCACACCTATCATTAATTCAGTTATTACTTTATGTGAAAGAATCATCAGAATATCTGCATATGTTGTTTGTGAGCTCACTGAAGGAGAGATCGATGACAAAACCAAGTTGGCATGATCAGTGTAGGTCCATTTGCTGTGTAGATCTGGGTATACAGCTGCTGAGGGGTAAGACGATTGGCCCAAGATGTGTAGCGTCTAGTTGAATCCTCTGGAATCCGAAAAAACCGGCTTCCCACTAGTACATTTGGAATCCCCATCTACTGAAGATGAAAAAATATGATCAAGATGTAATTCTTTCATAACAAAATGAAAGATACATAACTGTATGGTAACTTAGTCAATCACCGCTGCCTGTAGCTGGAGTTCAATTCGATTAGGATGACTGATGTCATCAGCATCTTGAAAGCAAAGGTATTCTCCACTACTGGCTTTGATGGCACTGTTTTTGGCAAATCCACAACCAAGAGGGCCACCACCCTTTATTTGAGTCACCTTCAGTGTGATTTGCCTCGCCGCAAACTGTTCCCGAAAGCTCTCCACCAAATGCAAAGAACTAAAAAAAAATAGTTTTAAACAGGATTTTAACAGATTTAGAAGGATATCATGGATGCATTATATTTTTTCCTGAAACACACTTGTCTGTGCTGTTATCATCAAAGATGGAGATCTCGAAGGGGTCTTGATAACTCTGATCCAAGAGGCCTTTCAAGCATTCAGGCAACCACTCTGCTGCATTCCTCATTGGTAGTATCACAGACACCTTAAAATCTGATGCCATCTGCATCAGTCACCAATTTGAAATAGCTGTATGACAATATACCTCTTTTAATTAATGGACTAAATGGAGATTGGCTATAGGAGAAATGGTATCCTCTGCTGAACCGGGCAGCACAATGGCTCCCTCTCTGTGTACAAGGTGACTTCTTAAATCTCTTTTGCCAACTGCAGAGCTGCTTTATTGAAGAAACCATATATAAAGTTCATAAAATATAGCCATAAAAATACAAGGAACTTCTTCATAACACCACAAAGGGAAGACATGTTATTTGCCAGCCGTCTGGTATGCTACAGTAATATGTTTTTAGGATGTCTAAATCAACTAATTAATTTAATTTGGCAGTGATGCTGTAGTTATGCAACTGAGAAGGATAAAGTATCAAGGGAAAGCTCCAAGATGAATTTTTCATAAGCTCAACCAATTTCTCCATAATAAAAAAAGCAGTAAAAGCTCTATTCCCCCCTGACTTTGATGAATTTTTCATGATTTTGCTCGTTTGTCAAAGCAGATGCCAGCATGTCTTGAAGTTTGGGAACAGGATTTAAAGATGGACTATTTGGCATACTCCCAGTACTAGCCAGCCTTCAAATATCCCCACAAGAAGAGTCCATATGGATTAGATCTGTATCATTGGCAAGGCCAGTCAACCATGCAGATGAGGAAAGACTGAAAGGTATCAACTCATGACTTGATGCACATAAACTTCAATTTGAACTACTAAAGAGTAGGACTGGTTGAAGTTAGAAATAATTCTCCTTAAATGAGCTTTCATTTGATACCCCATTTTCTTAGTTGTCTGGTCACTGCAATCTTAAATTAAATTAGAAAGTCAACTATCCAAAACTCTCTTTAGATCCTATGTTCTCAATAACATCTCATATCCAGACATTGGCATTTTTTGTCATCACAGAATGTCCACTCTCAGCAAAAGAGTACAGTAAAACCCTATTATAATAAAATCTGATATTGATTCAGTGAAATTCTTGGTGCAGCAAAACACTTATATCCTGGAAAAGCACAATGCTAAAAGAAATCCATTTAGCAAAATTACATTGAAAAAATAGATTCCGTAACACTACTCACTCTCCTTCCAGCTTACAACAAAAACTTTTTCAAACACTTTCTTGGTTTAGCTCAAAATTTGCAATGGGGGTTCTACCATCAAGAAAGTTTGTAGAATCACACATGGAACTATGGGAAGTAGTAGAATGAATGAGCTCTGAGGCATAAGAAAATATAACTGGAAAAAGTCTTCCTGCACCCCATGCATTTCTTACATCTCTTCAATCATACACAGTAGATATTAAAAGTGCAAACCAAAAGATAAAGGTTCACTTGGGGGAAACAGAGAGAACCAGGAACAATTGCAATCTATATGGCAATATATCCAGCATCTCTGTGGCACATGTCATAAAAACAGGGTTTTACTGTAGTGTATCTGAAGAGCGATGGAAGCCATCAGGTATGGGAATCGGTCATTTCACGTCCTTTGGTCTCAATTGGGAGGAGTAAACAGGCCACACTGGCCAGGAGGGCCAGGCCTGCATACATCGCTGTTGCCACATGAATGGATTCATGTATCAGCACCTATATCAAAGGAATGCATTCACTGTATCCAAATGAAACTGCATTTGGATGGAAATGGAAGAAAAGAAGGAATATGAAGAACCTGGGCAATGAAGGGTGTGACCATAGCTCCCATGCGAGCCAGGCCACTACATGTCCCCACACCTGCTGCTCTTAGGCTTGTAGGGTAAACCTAGAATTTTGATTTGTAGTTTAGTAAAAATGTTGCATTCACAGAAGAAATACACTTGATTGGTGATTACCTCAGGTGTGTAAACATATGCAGCTTGGAATACTCCAGCGACTACTCCACGGGCCACGAACAGTATAGCTGTCAATGCTGTCCTCCTGTAAATGGATAAAAAAAATAAACCTATTTTCCTTCAACCATTAACTGCAATGAAAAACCCAGGCTTACCCTGAATAGCAGAAGAAGAGGAGAACAACGGAGAGGGCAAACACAAAGAATTCAAGGGCCATTGTACGCTTTCGGCCCAGCCACTCAATGATCAAGAGTGTCAGCAGGATACCTGAAGAGACATGTTGAAGAGCCATGGTAAGGTTCACACTGAACAGATCTATTGTGTCTGAGTTGAGGCCATGAGAATCCAAAAATATTAATTTCCAATAGGGGTCATACACAGTGACACTCAGTTCCTTAGGAAAACTAAATTCATTGATCAAATTTCCAGTGTAACAATGACTGGTAAGCTAAGCATTTTTTTATTACTTCAAGTCCTCCAAAAATCCCTCTGGAGAAGAAAAACTCCATAATTTGCAATACGATCCCACGTCATACCACATTCCTCCCCTTGAGTCCTGACACTGTCAAGATGAAAGAAACTTCACTTAAAGAGAATGCTCCATAGTTCTCCTTTGCATAAACTGAAGTCAGAGGCATTATTAAATAGACCTCAAGTAGGAAAATAAAATTGTGCATAGCTTTGACATGAATCTATATAGGAGATCAAGAGCTATATAAGTCATAAACTTTATCCAACATGATGAGACTGGAAAAAGTATTCTAGATAAGCTTGGAGGTGAAGTGAGGTGGCATTATACTCCATGGAGATTTATTCACAAGTACTATTTGTTCTTATTTCTGAAGATTTTCCATTCTGTACACTGAAATTTTGTGGCAATTTACTGTTAAGTCATCTAAATGTACTGTATTTGGATTGAGGTGAAGATGATTACCAGGAAACTCAGCAAGAGAAGTCCAGAGAAGGTCAACATAGTCAGAGGATTCAAGTTCCTTGCACTGAGCATTGCAAACAGGATCTGTTGGATGAGACACAAGAGCAGGGACTGCCAAGCAAGTGCCTTCCATTCCTTGTCGGCTCTGGAGCTCGAACAACTCTGTAGTCATCAGCACCACTCCATAGTAGCAGAATGCACAGGTAAACCTGTGAAGGAACACTGAATTGATCAAACCAAATCTATGACCTTCTTGCCAAAAATAACCTATTCTTATGCACAAGACAAAACAGTACAGTTCCCATCCCCACAAAACCTGCCTTTTTTTCATAAATAATGGCTTTGGGTGTCATGTCAGAAAGGTTGCCAGGGGAACCAGCTAGTAGGCATTTCTAATAAAATATGCATTCATCATTTCTACAAAAGCATATACCATCAAACGGAATCATTTGATATGCCTAATTGTAAGATTTGCAACCTGAAGGATTACAGTGACATGGAATTAAGGAAAGCTGGATAAAGCACCTGGTGAATAAGGGAGGCACTCTCTTTGTTTCTGCATCACCTTCCATGGGCAGAAGATATGAATGCTAAATAGCCTATTCCTTCATGCCTTCATCCACTGTTGACAACAAGGACATGCCATCATTGCCATGACAACCCTGATTTCTAATCACATTTGCAGCCTTCTTAATTGTACACTAGCAGTAATTTTTTGAATGACTCAATAAAGACTTTTGGAGCCTTAAATTTAGAGAACTAGCATCTCTCTTTTTCTCTGTCCATGATATGATCACCACATGGAAAAAAGATAAATAATATAATTCAGGAATCCTTAGATTGATCAAACTCAGAATAGGATGGAAGGATGAGGAAGCAGACCAGATAAACCAGAGAATGAGAGAAGTCCACTTGAGTTCAGGGACAAGAAGATCTGCAATGCGTCCACGTCGCCACTGCTCTACGTCATCCACAATGAGTCGACCAAGAAGCATCGGCTTCCGATTGGATGATGCCACTGCCCTCAATGTGTTCAGGGCCTTCTCTGACTGACCACTGGTTGCATGATACCTCGCACTCTCTGGCATCCACTACTTAAGAATTCCTTCCATTAGCCAACAAGATCCCCAAAGAGGAAAGGAATGGAATGACTCGAAATCATTCTTACACAGCAGATGAAGGCGCTGATGAAGACTGGAATAGCTGAGATGGCTAGGAGCCACCTCCAGCCAAGGGTTGGCATGATAAACAAGGCCAGAAGCACCTCAAAGCAAGCACCCATAGCCCAGAAGCACTGAGATATAAGAGCATCAATCCATGTCATCTATCCATCAATTATCATGAGGGAAAAAGGAAATGTGATGGGGAAGGCATGAAAACTTACATCAAGAAGAACAACACACTTGGCCCTTTGCGTTAGAGGTAGAAACTCAGCATAGAGTGTTACCCTGCATAAAAAAACAACAGACATGTGATTCACATATGATAATAGTACTCTGCTCACATTAAAAATAAATGATCATAGAAGGGCTACATTTGCCATTGGTGAAGCTTACGACTGAGGGACGCAGCCAATTGCAAAGCCAACAAGGCCACGTAGAAGCACAAGCCACACGTATGTGGGGGCAGTCGCACTCAGAAGCCCAAAATATGATAACAGCCACGATGCTATCAACAATCCCTAAGCATACCAACATAGACACTCACACAAATGCAAACAAGCACATAATACACTACACAAGCATGAATAGACAAACAGGCCTTGCTAACAGCCACAGACTCTATGAATTCATTCTACCTCAATGGTCTTCACCCATGAGTGATGAGTTCTTTACATCAATACTCATTAATATCAATCATCCTGTTCCCATCCACTCTCCATTTGCCTACATTTAGCATGGAAGGCTCTCATTTGCATACAAGTGCCTTAAACATCACCCTTTTCCTAAGAAACCAAATGTCCCTCACAACTTAAATTACTTTTGTGCAAAAAAAAGGAATAAAAAATGTAATTCACCGATATAATTGTAAACAGAAAAAAATTCAAAGGTACCATAACAGGAAATTCAATATGACCTTGCTACCCACCCCTCAAGCACAAAATTGGCCTAACACCCAATCCTGAAGGGCAAGAATATGGAAGGAAAAGTATCCTATGATCAACAATCTTTCCTTACATTGCACACAAAACCCAAACTGAAAAAAACATGCACAGCTAAAAGTGCAGCATAACTGGCATTTTCATGCTGGAAGGAGCTCAGGAGACAAAGGAAAACAAGAATTCTACTTCTCACCATTTTACGACCATAGCGATCACTGAAATTCCCCCAGAATGGAGAACTCAGCATCATCCCCATGAACACCATCTGCCAAAAGAAGGCCAAATGTTGTGCCAATATGAAGAAAAGTCAAATCTCATTCATGAATCAAGACAGAATCTATGTCCAAGCTAAGCCTACCAACCGAGGTCACAAAAGCCTGCTTCCATTCACTGATCCCCCAGGCACAATGCAAGGCAGGAGCCAAAACACTCAGGATCATCATCTCCATGGAGTCTGTCATCCAACATAATCCTGTGATGAGTGACAACTTGATCTGGAACCGGCCAAATCCAAGGGCATTCACTGCCTGGTCAACAGTGAATGTGTCTGCAAGAATGAGACATAAAACCATATTTTTTGCTTCCCTTAGTTCATGCATAATCCAAACCCAAAGTAATGAATGAAGATGAGAGCAAGACATAACAGTTAATGATGATGAGCACAAGACCTAGCAATTGAACTAATCAGTGTTTTCAGGTCATTCACTTTCGTTCTAGCTTCAGTTTCAGTCTCAGTGTAAAATCCTGTTTCAGTTCACCTCCAGGTGACGAGTTCTCAAAACTGATAAAGTACACTTTCAATCTAGTCTATTGAGCCTTCATTAAATGGAAATCAATAAAATCTAAACTGGAGTTAAGCTCAAAATATGCAGTCTGAAAATCTTGATAATTTGGTTTCCTAGACCAATTCATAAAGGATATTACATCATCTAGATTTTATGTTTTCACTGGAGTCCAGCTCTGGAATAGATGCATAGCTTGGAGAGGGGGGTGGGGGGGGTTGGGAGGCAAAGAGGACCTTAGCCGTAATGCAGTAAATCTATATTCACTTATCACACTTGTAGATTGACTCTATACCCCCATAGGCCTGGGATATATATGTCCATACTGATCACCAGCTACTAAAAATTTACCAAGTGAATCTAAAACTGCAACCATTCCAAATTTTGCATAATATAGCCAGATAGCACAAAAATGTCCAAGTCCAAAGCACAAAGGGCTATTCCATAACAAATGCATCTCTTATCTCATCATGCAATATCCTCTTCAGACCTGATTAGCAAGTCTGCTTGTCAAATCCATTGTCTTTTACAGACTCTGGGTCTGAAGGGGATAAGCCTAAAGCTATACATACAGTTCTTCCCACAAGGTTTCACAATTTGCTGTTCTAACAACTGAAAATGTTTGATGCTGTCCATCATTGATGAACAAATTGACACAACGTGAATCCCAGTTCCAAGTCAACAGCCTTGGTGCTTTAATTTTCAGTACTATGAACCAAGTCACTGCTCATTTATATCTATTTTATTCCCGTTTTGTCATGGCATGTTTCAATTATGTAAAACTGGAATGACTACCGTTTTAAATTTTTTTTTGCTCAGTGTCCTGGAAATAAAACTAAACTGGATGACGTGAAACCACTGTGTGACACAGACCGTCGGGGACGACTCCTGCAACGGCGGCTGTCATTTCGATGAGAAGCCCAGGATCTCTGGGCGACCGACTGTCCATACTGCCAAAGGACTCAAGAGAGGATGGTGACATGTCCCGGGACTGAGATCGAGCCCTGGTGCCGCTCTGTCCTGGAAGACTTTCGTAGGGGCATGCGGACCTCCCTTCGACTCCGTTCGACATGGTGAACTTCCCTCTCCCGAATGATTCCGGCATCTTCTCACCTCACCCTCCCCCATCTAGCCTAAAATCAGTCACATGACACGTTTACAATTCATATTATCATGACGTCCACAATTCGAGGAACCTATGTGCGAGAGATAAGCTCACTCTTCTGCCATACTTGCGCTCCACCGCTCGTGTTACAGGTCGTGCGGAATCTTCAGGTGGCTGTAGTGCGACTCCACTCATGGCCATCTTCGAATATTGAAGTACAATTTTGGAAATTCCCATCCAACTTCGATAACAGATACCGTTGCTTTTAAATTTTATTTTCATTTTACAGCTCATCGAGAAAACTCCAGAATAATCGCTAAAAAAAAATCCAGTTTTTTCCTCTCATGAAGATGACATAAAACTCTTGGTCCTGTATGCATGGTGTGAAGACGTGTGGGAAGTAATGGGTTGTTAAGAAAGTCTTTGGAGTTTCTTTCGTATTTTGACCCTGCCCTTCGGCATTTTAGAAAAGTTTCGAAATTGAGCATGTATATAAAGGGCTCACTAATGCACCTTCGCATAGTTTTCACTCCATCTTCGGTGAGCTCTGGACAGAGAAAATGGAAGAAAAGCGCGTCTCAGACTATCACCTCTTCCGCTCCCTCCAGAACCACATGCAGGGGAAGCACTTTGATACCCAGAAGGCGCTCGAAACTGACCTCAAGCACTTCTTCGAGGCCAAGCCCCCGGCGTTCTACAGGGAGGGCATCCACTCCCTGCCCGAAAGGTGGAAGAAGGTTGTGGGCAACGATGGTGCTTACATTGTGGATTGATCTTGTTTTCATTATGAATGAAGAGAGAATGAACAAGAACAAGAAAAACTCCAAAGACTTTCTTAACAACCCAATAGTTGCCCTCAAATTCTGACCGCTTAGAGTTGAGTTCTAAGGCGCGGCTATCCTTCAGATGTAGAGCAGCACTTGGCTACTGAGCAGAAAGCCAACAAGAATCTCACTGCTATCTGAACATTAGAATTAGAATCGAAGGGTGGCTCGTCATCTGCCGTTACGTTACATCATTGTAATCCTTGGGAGTGTTGCAATTTCTTTCGAGTAGTGTTCTAGGTAGCTATGTGATTTCTAATTGTGGCAGGATCAGCAGTGGGAGAGGTTTGGAAGCGAGAGGGCTGTCGTATTTTCACTCTGGCAACTTGCCTTTGAGGACCAGTTTGAGGAGGTATCAGCCAAGCTGATCAGAGTAGAGAAGAATGGGGATTCGTGATAACTGTATACCTGTCTACCTAGCTAGTCAGAGAGGAGGATGAACTTCGGGTATTCTCCAGACTCACAGCAGACCACTGCTGGCCCAGGAACAGGGTATAGGCTGCGAAGGGGCCAAAGACGACTCCGAGGATCAGGTGTCACTTTCAAGAAAAGGTTTCAATGTTTGCGAAAGGTCGTGTTAGACGGGGAATCAGGTGACGATTAACCCTGTAACTACCAGAACCTGGATGATTATATGGTTATTACTTTGTTCTATCTCTTCATTCCCCTAAGAATCTCTTTAAAATACACCGAATATCGTACTTTTCAAGTTCACGGTGAAGCCAACACAAATGGCTACATTTTTGTATCAGGATCCATTGAACCCAGAACGGTAGTTACAGGGTTTATAGGAGGACAGAACGTGAAGAGGAAAAATCTATTTGCGCGAATGGGGGACTCCAACGTCAAGCGTCTCGAGACGGGTGACGGAGGGATTTGATTGTGCAGGAGTCTGTTCCTTTCACCCCTTTTTTTTCGGAACGACCATGGGGCATTAGAACATTGTGCAGTGCTAAAAATGGGATGTTTTTCTTGAGGGGATGGTTGCTTCCCCCCCTCTCTAGTAAATAACATGGAGCCATCATAGGACTTACCTTGTACACGTTGCTCCATCTGGAATGTGTCGTTTGGAAGGTTCCCCTCCCCCAACCACCACCAAAGGTTTCGGTTAAATAGTAAATCTAAATCGATATTCACGTGAACCCTTGACTGCGGCAGCATTGCGTCTTTCCTCGCATTTACTTCGGTTGAAGTTATCCAGTCTGCAGCAACAAAACGAATTTCTTGTGGCTGAAGTTCCCAATCATTCCAGCAATATGCACTAGTAAATGGAGGAGGTTGCCTTCAAATAAAGGTTAATACCACCTAGGAGCAGGCGATGCAAAGGAGATCTCTTCCACGTCCAACAGACACACCTCCAGTGTCTCGTCACGATCATCTAAGACAAGAAAAGCTTGGCATCGTAGATACTGTGCTTCGACTATTAAGCAAAGAATCGAAACAATGTTATTGCGGGGAAGCAAGGTTAGGTGTAAAATTATTAGTTCGCCGGCTTTCCCTAGCAACTTGCAGCTTTGCAAGATTGTGACCACTGTTGGGTAAGGAGGTGTCAGTGCTCTTGCGAGTTGTGGCCAATGATAATTGACCCCTGAGTGATCATTGTTCAGCTCAAGCAGACGAAAAGGCAGTACCCTGACGCAAGATCTGAGGCAAGGATGACGTTCAATGGGAAAAGCGTATTCGTACGCGTTAACTTTGCGATGTGTGTGTAGCAGAGGGGCGGCTCCTGGCAGCCTTGAAAGTGCAAGGAGCCCCTCGAAGAATTTTTTTTGGCTCTGAGGACCTTTGTTTAGCATCCCCGTTCGGCCTTCGTAGCCCCCTTCCTTTTACCTTGTTCCCCTTCGCGCATGACCCAACTTCCGCCACAGCTGGAGACACATGGGATTCAAAATAGGATCAACGACTGGATTAGTATTAATTCATTTTCTGATAGCTGAATTCGTGTCACCAGTGGAAATCCATTCTCGAATGAGTGCTGTTTGCACCTACAATTGTTTATCACGGTCGCGAGTGTACGAGCAGTGCAAATGTTTCCGAAGCGGACGTGAGTTTGAAGGATGACTCTCGCCAGGGCCCGGCCAATGTTCTCGTCACAGGAACGAAGATCGCAAAGGTGGAGGAGGTCATACGGCAACAGAAATGTTTTACAGTATGAATTGCCTGCAGAGTTGGGAATCAGTCACGGCTTAATTTACACCATAGCTAGCGTCCAGAAAAGCATAGCGTTTTCGCATGGACGATGAAGTGCAGCAGGTGGTCACATTGTGGTGCAAACAGCAACCACTTAAATTTTATGAGGCTGGTATAAAAAAATATTGTGAAGCATTGGGATCTGTGCCTCAACAATGTTGGGAAATACTTTGAGAAATAAAACCCTTGCTGTCAGAAAAACTATAATTCTCGTATTCATTTGACTGATCCTTGTAGTTGTCGGGAAGAGAGCAGAGATTATGGGGAAGTGTTCTCAGAAGTAGGGGTCTGGGTCCCCAGGGGAATATTTGCTCCTGGTTATCATTTACATTTGTGACTTATATCAAGGTTTCTTGGATAAAACCAGTAAATTGACCGACGGCGTGAAAATAGGTTTTCGAAAGTGACATACTCGGACGAATAGAGAAAAAATAAAAGTAGAAGGGATTATGAAGCCCTAAAGAGCTCACGTAATGTTCATTCTATTGACTATAAGCATGCTGAGAATGTTACAAGATGATGGGCTTATGGAGGCAAAAGGGAAGAGGAATTTAAATTCTAACAGTACTGTAGTTCAGTGTAGCTGGATTTCAGACAGTAGCTGGATCACATGTATCCAGGTTTTGGACCTCAGGTCCAAAAATATGTTACATTTTGAAAAATTTTATAAATACTGTAGATAATAAACAAACTTTATTTAGCACAAACATGCGTCGAAATGGGCATTAACACTAAGAGAAGAAATGTGAATTCTCCACATGGGGGCAATTGACTTGGTAGCACCACAAGATACGACGTGCCATGTGTTCGAAAGCGCGGGGGCCAAAAGCCATTTCTGAAAAAGTTTTTCTCGAAAAGTAACATCTTTTTGGGACACCTGGGGTAGTTGGATCTGAATTAACCCTAATCCTGGCAAGGTGAGTCCGCTGGACTCACTACGACATATTTCGGTCTATTACTGTCATTATTTTTTTAAACTATCAGGACCATTGAATAAATTGTCTGTATTATTTTAGTTACANATTGAATAAATTGTCTGTATTATTTTAGTTACAGTACTGTTATTTATAAGAATACATACCGTAACCGCAGCAAACGGCCTTATTTTACATGAGTCTGACAGACTCACCTTGCCCGGAATAGGTTGTAAAAAAGCTTGCTCGGATGAGGGTTAAACGCGTAAGCTCGTACTGACATTACGAACGCGCTCTCGTTGAATACAGCATTGGTGAAACCCCAATTGAGGAAGTGAGTTTCATTTTGGAAGTCTGAAGATCAAAGGGATGTAATGGCACCGGGTTCAGAGGGTTCAGAGGCAGTTATTACGAGTTATTCCGTATTACCTTGTCAGAGGTTTACCAAAGCTTTCTTACAACGGCGTTTAGACGTGTCGGGACTGTCGCCGAGGAGGCTAACGAGAGGATCTCATCCAGACATTGAAGATCATTCAGTACTAGATAAAGTAGATCGTGGTAAGTTTTTCCAACTCGACGGTAACAGGAGATCGAGAGAGAACCATTTCGAGTTGAGTTGCAGAATCACTTTTTTACTTGTCAGGTGTTGCGCGGAATGCGTTAATTGAATTGAATCGTGAATAGCGAATGCAGCTAAGACATTGCCCTCATCCCACTTGTTAGTAACTTTAAGAGGGGGTTTGTGTGACTTCGTGTCTTTACAATTAAAGACCAGTTCCCCTGACTCCCATCTGTTGTAAAATGCTGGAATGCATCGTCCAGTTCAACGATCGACATGGTGACCACCTGGCAGCACTGATTTTGCTAAGGCTACTCTTGCGCAGCTCAGCAATTCAGAAGCTCGTGACGCTGACTGAGCAAGAAGCCTTGACAAAGGCTGCCAAAAAGACGTTGTAGTTCTAAATTTTGCTATGGCATTTGATGCCGTCAGTTACGATAGCGACTCCTTTCCAATGTAAAATCCTACGGAATTTAAAGCTCTCTCCTCCGATGGATGAGAAATTCTTCATTGATCGCAGAGAGTCCTTAAGAATTGACCAACTTCCCACTGGTTAGCTGTAAGACATGAGTTCCCACAAAGGTCAATACTAAGAAACCTCTTCTCGTTTTTCATCAACGACATCGAGGGGGCAAGTTAACGTGAGTTTTTAATATTTTTTTAAAAGTTGAATCTGAAATCCCAGTTCCTGAGCACGCTTGTGTTCAAGACCCTGACAAAATGTCCTCCCCCCCCTCCCCCCAAGCGCATGGTTCCTAATTCACCAATGGGAGAGACATCCATCTGGTTCCGAATTTAACTTGGGGGATACCTAGGTGGTTCCATATCCACCTCTGATCCCCCTGTCATACCTTTTCTTGTGGTTTCAGCCCTGATTCCCTCTGGGCCGAAAGTATTAGTGTTCGTCACGAACTTTGGATTCACCGAGACCGCACGAAGTGGTGCTGAAATTACACGTCACTTACGCCGAGTTTCCTTTTGGTAGGATTAAAAAGGAAGTTTGCGATTTTGGACTTGGTATTCTCGTTGAGAAAAGCCTACGTCGCAATTTCTGAGTAATCCTTTTTGTTTGCCGCTTCCTGGGATTGTCTGCTAGCAAACCGACCTCCTGCTTGCTATTCTTATGTCTTTTTGTGATCTGTATTAGGAGTGTTACCCTTTTCAGGGTAACACTCCCAATACAGATCTCTCTCCCTTTGATTCTTCTGATTAAACTTTCCTTATCTTTCGTTAGTGAGTCCTTTGCTGTTTTTTCTTTTGTATCCTCTCACAACCAACTCGTAAGAACATGGCAATCCATCGGCTGAGATCCATTGCCCTAAGGAAGGGGTCGGGAAATTATGGCTCATGAGCCAATTTTGGCTCACGAGCCGAAAAGTTTGCCTCATGAGTCATGACTAAAAAGCATGGATGTTCCTCTTTTTTCATGTATGCACATGTTTGTTGCCAACTTCAGGAAAATTTATTTTCTTAAAATCTTTGGCTCACGAACACTCAGCTCAATCTTAATATGGCTCACAAGGTCGAAAAGGTTCCCGACCTCTGCTCTAAGTCTAGTAGGATCCTGGACCTGCTTAGACGAATTTCAAGCAAGACTTCTCCTGAGGCCGAGACAACCGCACATTTGTTCCTTATGAGATCCATTCCGGAGTACGCCGCGAAAATGTGGGACCCATGCAAAATCAGGGATAAGAACTTGCTGGAGAAGGTTCACAAGTGATCTTCTCGATTTGTACTCGGTGGCTACAGTTGGATCACCGATTCTGACATTCTAATGAAGGCCGATGGATGGTAGAAACTTATGAATTGACTAAAAAAAATTTTTTTTTACTGAATAAGCTAATATGTTACAAACCCCAGTTTAATCTTGACTACAAGTAGTGGTGTAATTTACGGGGGGCAGGGGGAAGGGGGCGGCCGCACCTCCTGGCACCCCTGGGACAGCTTGCCACTCCCTTGGAGGTAATATTCTTCTCCCATGAGTTCACTCGGGAGGGGCTTGGCGCCCCCCCCCCCCCCCCCCCCCCCCCCCCCCCCCCCCCCCCCCCCCCCCCCCC